GCGATGGGGAGCTTGACCGGGTAAGCTACAAATAAGGACTTCCGAGCTTCCCAGGTCCTCGAAGACGGCTAGCTCTGTTCGAAAGTAGAAGTCTTTGCTTCCTCTTCAGCGTTTTCGGACGACCAGCTCTGGTAGGCGGGTCCGCCTCGACCTCTGTTTTGTCAGCGCCAGTCTTCTCGCGATTGAATGGGCTTGTATCGGATGGGTGCAACTACTGTTAAGTTCGCATTGCAACGTGCCTAACGCAGAAGGGCTACTTGGGGCGCCCTTTGGGCAGCTTTCGAGCGCACCTCGAGCTGCAAAGAGCAGTCCTTACAAACTGGTGTGACAGCATTCGCGCTACCAGCTGAACTCTTCCTAATATGCGTATGCGATCTATGCGTGACACCGGCGGTCCATCGCAACATTTTCATCTCCATGACTCCGAGGCGCGCTTCAACTTCTTTGGTCGTAGGCCAGCATTCAGCACCGTATATGGTCGAACGACGGTCCTATAGATCTTCGATTTGAGGCGATCTGGTATCGTCTTGTCGCAGAGAACGCCAGTCATAGACCGCCACTTATTGAGACCAGGCTGCACTCACACGCGCGCTCACTTCTGAGTCAAGACTACCGTCAGACGTAATTGTTGATCCGAGGTATTTGAACGTTGTCGTTCGCGTTAGCACACTGCCGCTGACCCTAAGGGAAAACCCTGTGTTCGAAATGGAAGTCGAAAGTCAAAAAACGTTTATTTGGGTGCGATTTGCTCTTGTTAAACGGTTCCCCTTATTTCGAACCTCAGTGAATGCGACATGCGCGGTGGCTCCCAAAAGCCGATTTATGTGGAACAGCTGACTACTATGCATAGAAGCATGGAAAGTTGAAGAAAGCTTTTTGGAATGAGTCAGAAGCTCTTCTCCTTTCTGTGTACGATGTAGCCTGCCAGGCTTCAGAGGTCAGCGCTTCACCCCCTCAGACAGGTCTGGAATGTTGGTCGATTCCATGTGATGCGATGCTCGTTTTTCTTCTTGAAGGTCCGAGAGATCTGACCCCTTGGGCCCAGTGCGAGGTGAAGCGGCGCAACTCTCTAGTGCACCACCTCTGCCCGATTGCCCTAGTATGCTGTATGTCTTACTTTCGGAAAGTCGAATACCTTATCAAGGCGCTTCTGGAAAGTCTAGCGGTTCACAAACGAAGCATCTTATGACGTTGGAGAAGAGCTGCGTGCTTTGCTTTCATCGTTTTCGCTAAGAAATACACCCCACTCCCAAATTCGCAACTTCGGTAAGACTCCCAAATTTTCTCCAAAACTCGTCCAAAAGGAACTCGTCCACACAACCGGCCAATCAACTTACGAGATTTTTCCAAAAGTTTGCCGTCGACCGTACAGGGTATACCTTTGATGGGGAAACAACTTCCAGGCGAATGAGACCTCCCCTCCCCTTCGGTGTCGGCTGGTTATCGCAAGAATGCCGTGTCATAGACAAAACTTTTGGTCCCAGGCGGGACGTTAACCCACAGTCACGTTTTTCGCGCGGCTGTGCGATCTGCTTTGCCACAAGGGCAGACATCGAACCTGTTAGCCTGACTGCTTGATTGCTGGTTCAAGTCAATCTAGAGTCAAAACCTTTGGAGGTGGCAAAAATGAAGGAAATACTTCGCTCATAGGCGCTTGCTACCTAAGATCACGTTGCACTGGGCGAGAGAATGTGCGGAACACCTAAAGCAAATTATTTCCCTGATGTTCCTTCATGAGCAAGAGCAAGCGCTTCACCAGTGCTACCCCTGGTTACATAACCGATATCCCACTCGTCCAGGGGAGTGAGGTGCAGGTTCAAGTCCAGGGCGGGGTCAAGATTTTTCATTCAGCTATAACTATCTGGAAAGCTCGACACTAACTTTCGGAAGTCGAACTGTGGCATGATACCTGGGCGTTTTGTATGCCTAACCCCGATCCCCAATCAAAGCCTAATTTGATTCCATGAAACTGATCGCTGACGCTGGTGCCCGTTCCTCCATTACATTACGCTAGAACGAAAATGAAAGGAACAAACCCACTCGACGAACTTTTCAATCGTCGTCGGGTTCGCATTGGGGTCATAAGCGAAAAAAATCACCTCTCTTCACAAATTCAACGTCGTTTCCCACTCCGCGATTTCTCACTATCTGTAGAACCTGTCTGGGAGGCGTCGCTTGGCTAGCTGCTAGCTATTCTCCACGTTTGATGGAGGACAGGTTCATTGCTGATAGGGGGGGGGACGATGCACTCAGGCGTTTCACAATATTTTTCATTCTCGTCATCGCTTCGTTCGCTATCGGTCCTGTTTTTTGCTCACTCCTTATCGTCCTCTGCATCAGCCGTGTCGTCCTAAGAATGTTCTCAGTCTTGTCAAAAATGAAAAACTTGAATGTTGTGTAGTATAGAGGGGGGAAGGGGGAAGTGCACAAGTTCCTCCACAGTGCTTTGAATTTTTAGTACCTAACCATAAGGCGAGCAAGGGCAAGACCCATTAGCGCCGCTCATGTGTAAAGGGGCACTCATAACCTCGGAAGAGCATCTGAATTGTCCCCCACCCCCGGAAAGATGGGTATTGCCGTTATCCCGAAGACTGACTGTACTTGAAAGTTTCAGTTATACATCAGTTCCTTCCCTCTTCGAGTTCAGGTATGTAGAAGTGCTCATCTTCATCACAGTAGTTCTACTTTTCCACAAATAGTCGTCCTTGAAATGACTCTCACGAGGTAGTTAGCCCCATGGGAACAAGTTTGCTCCCAGATCCGCTAGTACCTCTTTATCAGTACCACTGTGTGCCTAATAGACCTTCCTTGCACACGTTAACCCGACTACCGATTCCACAGATTGTTACCACTCTTGTAGCCTGAAAGTAACTTGTGAGGGCGATGAGGCCCCAGGAGGAAGAACGGCGTGTACTCATATCTGTGCGGTAGTGCTGTCAACCTGAAGAAATGCCTGTTGCCTCTCTCTTTTTCCTATTTTTTCACTCTATTGTATCTGCTGCCTCATCAGCACAAGCAGTGCCTCTTCGCCACATTTTCGCCACGCTTCATCCAAATCGGAAAGCCAAGTGGGAGGAGAAAGGCCTACGTTTGAGCGTTGTTAATGGTTCTTTCTAACTCTTCAATGACTAGTGAGCCAGTCATAATCTGCTGATTTGTAGTGGTCCTCGCCTTGGGGCCCACTTGTCAAAGTAAGTGTTGAGGTAAAGGGTTTTGGTGCTAGGTTCAGGGTGGCTCGGAGGCTGAATCGGCCCTTTATGTCTAGCTGGACCATCTTTTGACTGCGCTGGAGCACAGTTAGTACCTGTGATGGAGGCAGTATCTTGGCATGTTGCAAACTTTTAGTTTAGGACGACGGGTAAAAGGAAGCGCTACTTGCACTTGAGGACGTCTTTCGCATCCTATGGTCCTTCTCGGAAGCCAGTTGAAGCCTAGTAGTAGACCTCAAGGTACCCGTCCAGTCCAGAGAGTTTTTCGGACCATTCCCAAGAGCAGGTTTGAAATAAGGTTGACGACACTTTCGCGTCTCGACTGGGTTAGCGGACGTGGTCGTAACTTTTACTAGGTCAAGCGGCTAATTTCACAGCGCCCAAGTTTCCAGGGAAAACCTACAATTTCCATCCGTTTTCCACAGAGTAGAGCTCTTCAGCTTTCCTTTTTTTCCATGAACAGACTTATTCCACTTTGGGTATGCTCAGTGCACGGCTACACTTACTATTGGTGTTTTCCGAGAATTTGCCTTTTTCATTTCGCCTCATATCTGAATACGGCGTAGTGCTGTGAACACTGAAAAGAAATGGCCTGTTGTTGCCTCTCTCTTTTTCCTATTTTTTCACTCTATTGTATCTGCTGCCCTCATCAGCACAAGCAGTGCCTCTTCGCCACATTTTCGCCACGCTTCATCCAAATCGGAAAGCCAAGTGGGAGGAGAAAGGCCTACGTTTGAGCGTTATTAAT